TAGAACTGAACTAGAACTGAACTAGAACTGAACTAGAACTGAACTAGAACTGAACTAGAACTGAACTAGAACTGAGCTAGAACTGAACTGAACTAGAACTGACTAGAAACTGAACTGAACTAGAACTGAACTGAACTAGAACTGAACTAGAACTGAACTAGAACTGAACTAGAACTGAACTAGAACTGAACTAGAACTGAACTAGAACTGAACTAGAACTGAACTAGAACTAAACTAGAACCGAACTAGAACTGAACTAGAACTAAACTAGAACTGAGCTAGAACTGAACTAGAACTGAACTAGAACTAAACTAGAACCGAACTAGAACTGAACTAGAACTGAACTAGAACTGAGCTAGAACTGAACTAGAACTGAACTAGAACTGAACTAGAACTGATCTAGAACTGAACTAGAACTGAACTAGAACTGAACTAGAACTAAACTAGAACCGAACTGTATAAATTCTGTGTTAATAAATTCTTATTAAATATTAAATTTTTTATTAGAAATTACTAACTCAAAATAAATTCTTTCTCTGAAAATTGCAAATATTTCTACAAACTTAATCAAATAATAAACTAAAAAAACAACAAAATATTTTAAATATCCTAAGGAATAATTCACACCATTTAGTTTCTATGGATATGTGGCTGTGAGCGTAGTCAAAGCTTTTACGACCACGTCCAAAAACCGACGAATTGCTTAGATTGCCTGCCAACCAAACCAATATTCTTCATTCTCATTCGTAATCACAGATGGTAGTAAACAGCCAACAAGTCCTAAGGCCCAATTTTCAAAACGCACTTTAACACAAATGATATGTGAGAAGCTTTTGGCAGCTAAATAAAAATATGTTGTAATTATCGAAAGAAAGGCGATATGGCGAGAACGTGGATGAATATTCACAGCAATAAACAAAAACAAAAAACTGCAGCTTTTTACATGAGAAGAATTTTTCAGGCAGGGAAAGTTTGCCAATTGGCATGTGTTTGTGAATAATTGTAAAATGTATTTTAAATATAAAATCCAAAATCAAGCTGAAAGAGGGGAACTTTATGTTTTAACATATGCACAGGAACAGGTAACAGGAGAGAAGCGATAAATGCATTAAACGTAACATTTGTTTAGTTCCAAAACATATAATAATAATCATAGTCATGTTGATAATAATGTTGGTAATGATTATTATGCTGATGATCATGTGAATACAGTGGACGTCCACTAGTACGAATTATATAGTGTCAGGCCCTTTCGTAATACCGAAAAATTCGTATTATTGAACAACACATTTTGTATGTTTAAATTCAAATAATACACATAAACTATTGGATTTTATTTATTTTTGTTTTATTTTTCATGAAAACTTACATAACGGAACAAAATATAATAAATGTGTATTATTTTAAATAAATTTCTTGTACATAAACAGGCATAAAAGGGACATATTTACGTATATGAATTGTTAATTTTGAAAGTATCGTGAGTCCAATAGTTGAAATGAGATATATGTAGAAGCTTTTAAATTTTAATGTTTTTAAAAAGATGTGTACCACAATTTGCAATTTACATATGTGTTCTAAAATGTATTAAAATCTTCAGATTACATAAAACTTTTATTAGAAACTTGAGTGGAATATACCACAATTCTCTAATTTATAATTTTCTCTTAAAAATTAGAATAGTTAACAGTTCATACATACATATGTATATAAATATCATTTTACTTATTAAAAAATCCATCATTTATTGTTCTCAGCAGAGTTATTGTCGGGAACTAATAAAATACTTTCCTCATTGGCGTTATCATCCAATTTAATTTCTTCTTCTCCAATAAAATAAATTAATAACACTAAATAATTGTTGATTTGTAAATATACATGCAGTAAATTGTGTGTATAGGATTTTTAAAAATACAAAACACTTGTAATAAATACAAAAAAACTTCAAAATTACTGAGCTTAAGGAATGATACCGAAATAATAAAATAAAAACATAATAAAAACTTCATTCATACGTAAATAAAACCAAAATTTCCATAAAAAATGCGTTATTCGTACTATCGAACAGAAAAATTTTGACTTTATTCGTACTATAGAGTAGACAATGCAACAATTTTGCCTTTCGTATTATTGGATATTCGTAATAAAGAGTATACGTACTATTGGACGTCCACTGTATGTTGTAGCTGTGTGTTAGCAACTTAATAAAATGTTAAATTTAAGCATAAATATCATCTTGGTAATTCCAAAGAAGGAATCATCCACATCTACCACTAACTTATAAGAGTTTACATGATCATTTAACAACAACAGCAAAAAAAATCAGAAGAAGAAACTGAAAATGAAATCAACACACTAAAGCTCAGTTTGAGTTTATGAGTTTGAATGTGAATTTGTATATGATGCGAATGGGCATTAGACTGGTGTTAAGAGATTTGGAAATTAGTTTCGGTGATCTTGGAATTCGATTGTTCTTACCAGAACGATTCTGAATTTGCTTTCGACCTTTACGATCTTAAAAGCCAAGAGAATAAAATCTTTTAATGTGGAGATTTCCAATCGTTTTTTAAAGTCAGAATCGATCTTCTTTTCCTAAGTGAAAGGTATGGTCAATGACAATATCTAAAAGAGTTCGGTAATATCTGGCCAAAACGTGGGATTTGTAGAGTAAAAATTGAGATTCTTAAATGTTTAAAAAAATATGTCCTCATATAGCCGACAAGATCGACCAACATAAGCTCTTTTTGGTGAGTTTCGAAAGAGATAAAGATCTCACCAGAATCGTTTATATAGAAAATTTGCAAGATTACATCCATGCGATCCTTTTTGGTACATCACAAAAGTTGTACACGAACCTCAAAAGAATATGAGAGAAAAGTGAAAGAAGAGCTCACAATTATTGTTCTTGAATTTCTGGAAGCTGGATCCATTTTGGATAATTTCTCTAAACTAGAATTAATTATTTAGAGAGCAACCGGCATGAAGGCTCAAAACAATCCATCAAATTTATCGCTCTAGTTGTCTTTATATTCAGAGGCTTAGATCTGGGAACTGTTAAAAAGAAAACAGGAAAAAAGTGCAAAAATATCAGATATCAGGTGAAACAATAGATTTATAGTACCTGAAGATCTTTCTTAAAATCTCATATAAATAGGGATTTGACAGCTTCTAGATTGAGTTCACTTTATTTTTCTCATAAAATTTAGTTTCAACCTAATGTTTATAGACACATCGTTGTTGCAGTTGTTGGGTTGCTGTTAAAGCTCATTTAGAACTGACAAAAATACACAAAACTTTATGTGGAAATGGATGGTCAAGTCGCAAAACCAGCAATCGAACCAAAGCCCTGATAAAAACTACAAGACGTGACATTGAAGTCAGCAGAATAACGAAAAAAAACAACAAGCAAATGAAATAAAATGATGACTACAAGTCGTCGTATAAATGGATAAATGAATGTGTTTTATGAACTAGTAGAACTATAAGAACTCTTACTTGCTGAGTACTACACACACATTACTTAACTAAATTTTACTACTAACAAAAATTTCCTACTACTACTACTACTTCCTCAGTCAGTGATCACTGACTGGATCATGCCCTGAATGTTTGTATGTGTTTGATAATATGTTTCTCTATATAGATATCATTTAATGGTCATGATCAGGCGAAACGAGCGAATGACATGTTTTTGCGACATTAATCAACATAATTTCTGTATAAGTGGTCAAAATCGTCTTACGCTGCCGAACAAAATTACAATTTGATGTGAAAATAAATTGTGAAGCAGTAAATCGCTAAAACGAAAGCGTTTATTGAACATTTTGTGGTCTGGTGGTGAATGGTGGTGTTTGTGACGTGAGTTGGGTTACCTAACTGACTAGTTGGTTTGCTGACTTGCTGGCTGACGATTATCACTCATAATTGCTTGATGAGCAGCATTAAAAAAGCTGCGCATGCGCGTATATTGGCAAATTAAAAAAATATTTGATGTTAAAGATTTTTCATGGTACAAAACATGCAATGGCAATTTTGCATGATTTGGCGACAATTATGTTTTTTTAAAAGAAATCAACACAACTGAAATTGGTGAAACCCTGATCGAAGCCAACAACTAAATAACCGAACAAACAGTTTAAAGCCCAGAAAAGTTATTTCATTTTGATATTGAGCTTTAACCCAATCGAGCCACCAGAGAAGTCATAAAATAAAACATTTAGTTGCATTTACGGTGTGTAGCTAAACTACAAACATACGATCTTTAGACTTTAAAAAAGTATTTTAAAGATCTTTTTCGTAGTCGTCGTCGTCGTCTTCTTAGTTATTGTTGCTGGCTGTTGATTTTTGCGTCAAAGGCCAACGAAGCAATAAAATAACATTCATTTACATTTTAGGTTCATACCATGACACCCACACATGCTGGCTGGCTGGCTGGCTGACTGCTTGGTTAGATAGTTAAATGTATGTATGACAGGCTGTTTGCTGGCTCAAGTTGGTGGTGGTGGTAAAAACACGGTAACGGGCACCCATACCCATGTTTCGAAAAAAAAACCAAACAAAGCCAACAACAAGAAAAAGATCTCTTCTTTAAACCAAAAAGTGTTAACAGTGAGAAAAGAGCCTAAAATTATATATATCACACCGTGAGAGCGTGAGTAAGAGTGAGTATGATCGAGAGAGTGTGAGTTGGTAAAAATTAACCAGTTTAAATGGAAAACTACTCCCATAGAACTGGTTACGAGAGTATAATTCTTATACAGAGAGCATTTTCTTGTTATTAATTAACTATAGGTGAGTAATTATTCTCACCTGTTGTTTAACGATCGTTGATCACTCTCCGGAGAGTTTCATTTCAATAGAGTTCAATATTAAACTCTTCGCTAGCAAACGTTACTAGGGTTTTGTATCGGTATTTGTTGCCTATGTATGGGTTTACTCATTTATGCTCTTGTGGTCCGCGTGAAATACACTAGGCAATGGACATTTAGTTGGTTCGTGGACTTCTCAACACTGTGCGCGCTTATCGCTACTCGTATACGTAAATAGCGGTCATTTCTAAAAAAAACAAACTGAAAAATAAATAAGAAAATTTCCCTAGAAAAAAAACCTATTGGAAATATAACCGGAAAATTTCCATCAAAACAGAGAAATGTCTAATCTATTGAGTAACTAACAAATAATTAAGTTAACATAACAATAAAATTTAAATAATAAAACAAATAAACTGTTAAATTTTTATAAAAAATTAGTTTTTTTTTCCAACTCTTAAACTAAATTATTAGTAACGAATTTAGTTTTGTGTTTGTGTAAATGTTTGGGAGTTTGTTAACAAACTCTGAGGCTTTTGTTTTGGTTGAAAACGTCAAACGACGATCTTTATGACTTTTGAAAGCGTGACTAAGTCGTGATTTATGGTGGCGTGTGGTTTTTAAAATTCATACTCATCCCGTGGTTTCATCTCGTTCTGGTTATAACAAACAGCCAAACGTTTTAGTGAACATTAACAAGCTTCGTCATCATCATCAATAGCAACGTAATTTTCTGCTGCTTTCCTGACGAAGACAACGTCGTAGTCGTCAGCTGTGTTTAAATTTAAATCGATTTGGCATCGATTTGTTGTTGAATTTTGCGTAGGTGAGTGCAAAGCTTATGACCGTAAATACAAATCATCGAGTTTTATTTTCATCATCTTCCAACGTCTGCGATATCCTGCTGGGCTTTCAACTTTGTAACTCCAAAGCAGTGCATTGTTGTTTGTCATGGACTCCTTGGGTTTAAACGCCGTTAGCAATATGCAGGAATATAATGCAAATATAGTAATTTCTACAGCTTCAGCTGCACCCACAAAATCATCTTCTTCTTCCTCCTCTTCCTCTTCTGCTGCTACAGCCACCCCTACGTCTTCGTTAACGTCGTCATGTTCAACGACGTCGACTTCATCATCGTCATCGAGAAATTCTCATCACAAGAAGTTAAGTCAGAATGAAATACGTTCATATCTGAATGTTTCCGAGGTCAATAGCCGCCAGAATCAGAATCTCCTACATTCAAATAATACTCCTTCATCTTCTGGCCCTAACACTGCTACGCAAACGCAACAAAATATTACAGAAATCATTAACAATCCAGCTTTGTTGGAAGTTTTAGTAAATGCTTCAGCCGTACAGCAACATCATCAGCACCAGCACCAGCAACAACAACAACAACAACAGCAACATCAGCAATCATCTGCCACAAAAGATGTAAATGCCTGCAGCAAATCAAATACTCAGAGTCAACAGTCTAGCAAAGTTTGTAGCACCACCAACACCATTTCAACCACAACAAATGATTTGGCAGCTGCAGCTGCTGTGGTTCTATCATTGCAAGGTACAATGGTAACAAGTTTGCAACAAGCCGCTTTACTTCCCGTTAATTCACCAGCTGCTGCTGCTTTAAATCTACAAGCTCTCGAGTCGTATTTGGCATTGCAACGTATAACCGGTAAATCAGATGTATTTCGCTTCAATACCGTGGGAACCACTGCTTCAACTGCAGCCACAACATCAACAACAACACTAACATCATCATTATCGCCATCATCATCGTCTACATCATCATTGGATAACACTTCAAATGCTCATACTTCTAGCGCTAATGTTGCGTCCAGTGTTCATCACAAAAACTCAACTAGGAAGGAGTTGTCGAAGACGGTTAATAGTATTAAGGAATCGGTTAATGATAATGATTCTTTATATTCGGAAAAGACCACTATTACAAAATTGCCCTCAGCCAATAGTCTGTTTCATTCCCTCCACTCTAGCTCTTCAACTGATCTCGGGGATTGTGAAATACCCCTACTGCATAGCAATGACGATACTTTGAATTTTGAATCTAACGAATTGGAAACTACATTCCTCTTTAACACTGCCCTAATCAGCACTATATCGGGAGTTCAACAGCAGCAGCAGCAACAACATCAACAACAGTCTTCCAGTTGTAATCAAGACTTGGAACAAATAAACAATTTACAAACCACCATGTTTCAAGACAAACTCAACACTTTGGCCGCCACCGATTGTTCAGCTCACAGCTCGGTAAATACCAACCATACTGAGGCATCAGTTTGCGCCGCTGGTGCTCTTAATCAACCAGCCGCTGCGGTATTGGCCAATGCCCAACGTTCTAAGAAACAGTTTATTTGCAAGTTTTGCAATCGTCAATTTACCAAGTCCTATAATCTACTCATACACGAACGCACACATACCGATGAGAGACCCTATTCGTGTGATATTTGCGGTAAAGCTTTTAGGCGTCAAGATCATTTAAGAGATCATAGGTAGGTTTAACAATCCTTATTACTTTTAAAATTTAAAACTTAGAAAAAGCCCACCAAACTCACTCCGTTCTATTACGCTCATTTCTTCATTTTCTTTTTTCATATAGATACATACACTCCAAGGAAAAACCCTTTAAATGTGCCGAGTGTGGCAAAGGATTTTGCCAGTCTCGCACTTTGGCTGTTCACAAAATCTTACACATGGAAGAGTCTCCGCACAAATGTCCCGTTTGTAATCGTTCTTTTAATCAAAGATCGAATTTAAAGACCCATCTTCTCACACACACCGATATCAAGCCATATAATTGTAATGCCTGCGGCAAAGTTTTCCGACGTAATTGCGACTTAAGACGCCATAGTTTGACTCATAATTTAACATCGGGTTCTTCAACCAACATGAGTGACTCTTTGGTTTCTCTAACCTCTACAGTAAATGAGATACTTAATAGTCCCACGGGTTCGCAACATAAGGATATATTAATAACGTGTCCCTCCTCTACAACATTAACCAGCCCGTCGGCTACATCTGTAATGCTGGCAACACATTGTACGGCCCCTATAACAACCACAAAATCATCTGCCGTAGATCTTATAGCCGTAAAAGCGGAATTATTTTGAATCGCAAACCCTAAATAAGATATTACAGTTTTAAAGAAATAAAACACGTTCCGCTTTTTAAGCGGTCGGATTTTAACGGCTTATTCCTAGCTCTCTTTTATTCTTACTCTCCGAAATCCTCTCACTCCCTCCCTCTCTCTTTTAGCTTTTGTTTTCTTTTTGAAAAGAGTAAACATTAGAAATTAAATCTCAAATTAAAACCCTGAATATCATCATGATCATTATTTCTCCTGTAAGAGATCGATCCATTTAGCTTCCATTAAATCATTTAAACTTAAGTTTAGTTAATAAATGTTTAGTTTTTTTTAATTTGTATGCTATTTTTTATTTTAAATGTATGTTTTTTTTACAAGTACAATTTAAGTAATGTTTTTTCTTTTTTTTTATTTTATACATTTTTCGCATTGTCTGTGTGCTTGAAGCATTTCAAAAAAAAATCTAAAACCGCTTGATTTGCGGTATTATACTTTAAGTTGAGAAAACAAATTTAAAAATTTTAAATAAAAAACAAATCTTTTTTAAATAAAAAACTGGAATTTTTGAAAATGGTGGGTTAGTGTTTCGTTGAGAACGTGTTAAGTTTTATTATGAAGACCAATAAACTGAAGAAAATATTAAATTTCGCTGTAATATTCCAAAAGATCTGAGCATAAACATGTAATTCAACTTTTTTGCTAAAATGCTCTGAATTTTGAAATTAGAATAAATTAGAAAGAATATACTAGACTAGACTATAGACTAAGCTATAGACTAGATTATAGACTAAGCTATAGACTAGACTATAAACTAGACTGTAGACTAGACTATACTCTAGACTATAGGCTAGATTATAGGCTAGACTATAGACTACACTATAGACTAGATCATAGACTAGATTATAGACTAGGCTATAGACTAGACTATAGGCCGCACTATAGACAAGACTATATACTAGACTATAGACTAGACTTTAGACTAGACTATAGACTAGACTTTAGACTAGACTATAGACTAGACTTTAGACTAGACTATAGACTAGACTTTAGACTAGACTATAGACTAGACTCTAGAATAGACTAGACTCTAGAATAGACTAGACTCTAGAATAGACTAGACTCTAGAATAGACTAGACTCTAGAATAGACTAGACTCTAGAATAGACTAGTCTATAGACTAGACTATAGACTAGACAATAGACTAGATTATAGACTAGACTAGACAATAGACTAGATTATAGACTAGACTAGACAATAGACTAGATTATAGACTAGACTAGACAATAGACTAGACTATAGACTAGACTATAGACTAGACTATAGACTAGACTATAGACTAGACTATAGACTAGACTATAGACTAGACTATAGACTAGACTATAGACTAGACTATAGACTAGACTATAGACTAGACTATAGACTAGACTATAGACTAGACTATAGACTAGACTATAGACTAGACTATAGACTAGACTATAGACTACACTGTAGACTAGACTATAGACTAGACTATATACTACACTGTAGACTAGACTATAGACTAGACTATAGACTAGACTATAGACTAGACTATAGACTAGACTATAGACTAGACTATAGACTAGACTATAGACTAGACTATAGACTAGACTATAGACTAGACTATAGACTAGACTATAGACTAGACTATAGACTAGACTAGACTAGACTATAGACTATAGACTAGACTATAGACTAGACTATAGACTAGACTATAGACTAGACTATAGACTAGACTATAGACTAGACTATAGACTAGACTATAGACTAGACTATAGACTAGACTATAGACTAGACTATAGACTAGACTATAGACTAGACTATAGACTAGACTATAGACTAGACTATAGACTAGACTATAGACTAGGACTATAGACTAGACTATAGACTAGACTATAGACTAGACTATAGACTAGACTATAGACTAGACTATAGACTACACTATAGACTACACTGTAGACTAGACTATAGACTAGACTATAGACTAGACTATAGACTAGACTATAGACTAGACTATAGACTAGACTATAGACTAGACTATAGACTAGATTATATACTAGACTATAGACTATACTATAGACTAGACTAGACTATAGACTAGACTATAGACTAGACTATAGACTAGACTATAGACTAGACTATAGACTAGACTATAGACTAGACTATAGACTAGACTATAGACTAGAATATAGACTAGATTATAGACTAGACGATAGACTAGACGATAGACTAGACGATAGACTAGACTCTAGACTAGACTAGACTAGACTATAGGCCAGACTATAGACTAGACTATAGGCTAGACTATAGACTCGACTATAGACTAGACTATAGACTAGACTATAGACTAGACTATAGACTAGACTATAGACTAGACTATGGACTAGACTATAGACTAGACTATAGACTAGACTATAAACTAGACTATAGACTAGACTATAGATTAGACTATAGACTAGACTATAGACTAGACTCTAGACTAGACTATAGGCCAGACTATAGACTAGACGATAGACTAGACTCTAGACTAGACTATAGGCCAGACTATAGACTAGACTATAGACTACACTATAGGCTAGACTATAGACTAGACTATAGACTAGACTATAGACTAGACTATAGACTAGACTATAGACCAGACTATAGACTAGACTATAGACTAGACTATAGACTAGACTATAGACTAGACTATTGACTAGACTATAGACTAGACTATAGACTAGACTATAGACTAGACTATGGACTAGACTATAGACTAGACTAGACTATAAACTAGACTATAGACTAGACTTTAAACTAGACTATAGACTAGACTATAGACTAGACTATAGACTAGACTATAAACTAGAATATAAACTAGACTAAAGATTAGACTATAGACTATTGGCTAGACTAGACTATAGACTATAACTGTCTAGGCTGTAAAAAAGACTATAGACGAGACTATATAGAGTAATCAATCCTTTTTTATTGAGTGTATACCCTAATCAACTCTACTCGACTCTTTCGTCTTCTGGACACTCTCATTTATGTAACGGCCTATCTCTTTAGGAGACCAAATTCGAAAAGGATATTTTTAAGAATATCACAATGGGTCAAATGGCCTCTATAAGTTATCGACTAATTTTGAACGTCTGGCACATCTTGGATTTTAAATATCTTTGTTAAATTGATATTCTGCAGATGCTCACAGGTATTGATTATTATTTTCAGTACGATTTGCTCTATCAAGGCTTTCGCTTCGTACAAAATATTTATTCTTTTACCGTCAACTATACAATCCAGATAAACAGTGTTTATAACACCCCATACATACCACGATATTATAAGGTTTAGAGGTACAAAACGAAAAAAACGAAGTGTCATAAATTCATACGTATAAATAAATCGCATTTCCGATTATTACCGTAAATACTTAACTAAATTACTGACTTAATGATTATCGGCAATATAAGAAGAAATTAAAAAGAAAAATAAAAGTAAACGTACGAGCAAGAACTCTAGAGTGTAAACAAAACCACCTTATTTTTACGCTGATGAAATGTGGAACTAAAATACAGAAACAACTTACCGCCGGGTGTACAAGTTTCACAAGTTAAAAGTACATTTCTCAAAAATCTTTATAAACTACTAAAAAAGGAATATTACTTAGATCCTAAGAGTCCTAAATTTATTGACATTTAATGCGTTTTTTTCGGCCACCTTCTAGTAAATACAAACATGTAATCACGTTATCTATAGCGTTTAAAGCGGCACGTTACATGTCCTCCTATACAAGATATTACAAATACTTAATAAGTATACTTATGTACGTATTTGGGCATTTTTAAATTATAATTGTCGGCTTAATTTATTTCATCAGTGTTTCTTTTTATTTATTTTTTATATTTTTATGGTTTTAATATTTATTTGTCAATATTGCCGATATGAATTATGTGAGAGCTTCTAATAATTTTTTGTTGACACGATTGTTACAATTCGTCATACCTCATGTAATATTGTTTGTTTAGTTTGATACGTTTTTTCGAAAAGGTTACAACAACCAATTACAACGTTTAAGTAAATAAAGTACAAGTAATTAATAGTTAATATTTGTTTAACTAGTATAGCCATGTTGAAACAGTGAGATTAATGTGATATTTTTTTTTTAATATTTCATAGAAAATGGGTTCAAAGAAATTTTAGCTGAATTTTTTTAAATTGAGAAAGCAAACAAATATTAAAATATGGATAAAAATATATACTTAATAATACACTTATTAAGGAATGATAAAATTTAGGGATTACGATAAATCCCTTCTAAACATAACAGGGTGGTCTAACTATGAGCTTATTAGCACCATACTTTTAATCAAAGAAACATTCCAAAGATGTGATTAATATTTAAGGCTGAACTATAGACTAAACTATAGACAAGATTATAGACTAGACTATAGACTAGACTATAGACTAGACTATAGACTAGACTATAGACTAGACTATAGACTAGACTATAGACTAGACTATAGACTAGACTATAGACTAGACTATAGACTAGACTATAGACTAGACTATAGACTAGACTATAGACTAGACTATAGACTAGACTATAGACTAGACTATAGACTAGACTATAGACTAGACTATAGACTAGACTATAGACTAGACTATAGACTAGACTATAGACTAGACTATAGACTAGACTATGACTAGATCTATAGACTAGACTATAGACTAGACTATAGACTAGACTATAGACTAGACTCTAGACTAGACTATAGACTAGACTATAGACTAGACTATAGACTAGACTATAGACTAGACTATAGGACTAGACTATAGACTAGACTATAGACTAGACTATAGACTAGACTATAGACTAGACTATAGACTAACTTAGACTAGACTATAGACTAGACTATGACTAGACTATAGACTAGACATAGACTAGACTATAGACTCGACTATTAGACTAGACGTATAGACTAGACTATAGACTAGACTATAGACTAGACTAATAGGACTAGACTATAGACTAGACTATAGACTAGACTATAGACTAGACTATAGACTAGACTATAGACTAGACTATAGACTAGACTATAGACTAGACTATAGACTAGACTATAGACCTAGACTATAGAATAGACTATAGGACTAGACTATAGACTAGACTATAGACTAGACTATAGACTAGGACTATAGACTAGACTATAGGACTAGATATAGACTAGACTATGACTAGACATAACAGACTATAGACTAGACTATAGACTAGACTATAGACTAGACTATAGACTAGACTATAGACTAGACTATAGACTAGACTATAGACTAGACTATAGACTAGACTATAGACTAGACTATAGACTAGACTATAGACTAGACTATAGACTAGACTATAGACTAGACTATAGACTAGACTATAGACTAGA